AAAACTACTTAACATCCAGTCTTGAAAATTTCTGTGATTTTTCCTCTTTGTGCGGAGAAAATTCCGTGAAAATTTCAAGGAATGATATTGATTTGCTCTCCTTCAAAAAAATAAAATGTGAGCGTAGATTTTTAAACACCGCAAACGAGATACGTGGTTTGGTAGTTTCACCGTCGATATACTGTTTCTTATTACAAGACACGCCTTTTTCTAGCATTGGCAAGTGAACCCAAAATTTTTCTAGCGCGCTACAGCGTTGTCAAGTTGGAAACGTGAAAAGTCCGTAAGTGACGTTAAAATTGAGCTATTAAGTCGCAGTTTGAACGAAAATTCTCTAGAAATTGCGCACTTTAAAGATATGTTCATGCTCTTGATGTCCTGGTAATTTTAAGATGCATTGTCGCCAATTTTTCGATTTTTAAATTCATCAATTTTTAAAAATCCGCAATTATCAAAAAAGGCTCTATTTTGATTTGATAAAAAAGTTGTCTGATCGAAAGTATCTTTCGTATGATTTCGCATCCATCGATATATTATTCTGTGCATGGAAAATTTTTGTTTGCGAGATATGGCCATTTTTGTGAACAGCTTTTTGGAGCCACGACGCTTGTTAAGTCCAGGCAGATAGACATTTTAGCCTATAAAAACACCAGGTAGCCTTAATTCCATAGCTTCCAGTGTACCTTACGAAGCTGAATCTGAATTTTAACTTTTCATCAAGGAATTGTTGCCCGTAAGTTCGACGCTTTTGGCGGTTTTTGTCCTGAGAATTTCTTGTTTTCTGACTGAGGGAATGATTATCAGGAAAAATTTTATTATACAGGGTGTAACGAAAAACTATTGGATTGTAACATACATACATTAAAGCCGCTTTAAGAGCGATCTCTCGCGGTCTGCGACGCCTAACCGCCGTAGGGCCCTGTCTTCCCACAGATCCTTAGAAAGTTGTGGAAAAAGCGGAAAACTGAAAAAAGCACCAAAATCGACGCTTTTGACGGTTTTTGTCCTAGGTATTTCTTGTTTTTCGACGGAGGGAATGTCTCTTGGCAAATGTGGTGAAGTTGACTAAACTAATGAACAATATGTGCGGAATTTATGAATAGTTAACGATAAGATGAAACCGGACACATTCCAGTGTTGCCAAGATTAACCATAATACTTGAATTTTTGCTGGTTTTGGAGATATTAGCCCTAGATTCTTTGTTCACTTTTTATTTTTTATTTTTATAAACATAACTCTCATGCAGTAAAATTACACTTCTAAAGAATAGTTTAATTTTCAACTTAAATTCGTACTAATACCTATTGTATTTAGTCCAGAGATGTAAAACACTTCATACAATACAGTGAATCTTGTCGAATCGTGTCAAGAAATCGCATTTTGCAACTTTAATGGAAAACTTTCTGATACGATTGAATGAATATAACATCATCATTAATATAAACTTCAAAGGATTCAAACTTTCAGCGATTCTACCTTTTTCTATTTC